CTTTAGCTCACACTGAATCGTACCAGTACACAAGTTACCAGTACACAATTTGGAGAACCGGGTTTGATTCCCCACTCCTCCACATGAAGCCAGTTGGGTGACCTAGGGTCAGTCACAGTTCTCTCAGAGCTGTCCTCCCGAGAGCAGTTCTCTCAGAGCTCGCTCAGCCCCACCTACCTCACAGGGTGTCTGTTGTGGGGAAGGGAAGGGAAAGGAGATTGTAAGCCACTCTGAGTGAAGGGGCGGGGTATAAATCCAACTCCTCCTCCTCCGATTGGAGGTGGAGCCTAGGGACGGCAGAGTGGAGCCTAGGGAAAGCAGAATTTGGGTAGGAACCTCAGCAGGGTACAATCAATGCAATAGAGTCCATACTCCAAAGCAGCCATTTTCTCCGGGTGAAATGATTGCCATAGCCTGGAGATCAATTGTAAAAGCAGGAGATCTCCAGGCCCCACCTGGAGATTGGCAACCTCTAAGCTAGCATGATCAGCTCTGAGAAGTTAAGCAGGGTTGGCCCTGGTTAATATTTGGATGGGAGACCACAAAGGAATTCCAGGGTTGTCATGCAGAGGAAAGCAATAGCAAATCACCTCTGAACATCTCTTGCCATGAAAACCCTACAGGTCATCATAAGTCAGTTGCAACTCGAGGCACTTTATACATGCGCGCGCACACACACACATATTAGTGTGCTGGATGTCACTTGCATATCCATTTGCACAACTGGATTCAGAGGCATTCTTAAGCTGCAAAACAGACATTTCAGGAGTGCAACCCCACCTAGGGTTGCCGGCTTTCCAGTGGGGGCCTTGACATCTCCTGGAATCACAAGTAATCTCCAGAGCATAGAGAGCATTTCCCCTGAAAAAATGTCTGCTTCAGAAAGTAGACTCAATGGCATTATGATCTATTGAGGTCCCTCCCATCTCTCCCACTCCACCCCAAATCTCCAGTAAGTTCCCAAACTGGAGTTGGCAACCTTAAACCCCACCTAGAATATTACACCACCCTAAAAAAAATACACCAGCAACTAGAAGCTACATTGGTTAAATACCAGGGTGACACCAACATAAAGTTATGTGTGTTGTAATCTGATTTCAGTGTACCTTGATTAGGAATAAAAAGCTGCCACCCTAAGCATTCAATTCATCATGCCTTGTTGTAAGCCCGCATAGGCAGATTATGAATTATGGTCGTATATTTGATGGCAGGGAGGGGGCTCTACATTACAGTTCCACTGTGCAGGAGGTAAAAGCCCAGAGGTGATAAACACTACAAACTGCTTCAAGAGGAAATGCTTTGTTGACAGTCCGCAGCATGTGATTAGAGATGTTTGCAGTGAATCAACAAGCCTGTCATAAATAGCCCTTTAGTACTAGTATGTGTCGATGATACAAGGTGGAGATCTCGGGGAGGGGGGAACAAGCAAGAAAACCCCGTCTACTGATTTTAAACAATGACACTTCCTGAAGATTTTGACAGTAACATAGATGCTTGGCCTAAGGGAGAATGCTAAATATTTAGCTTGTTATTTCCTAGAATACCTGAGTCACATGCTAGAGCTGTAGTGACATTTTAGCTGCAGGTCAGAGAATCTGCCTTTGTTGAAGAGCTTAGTTACAGTCCAGATACAAAAGCTTTTTAAAAAATCTGTTATTCATAAATCCAGAAACATACATCCAGAAACATACATCTTTCAAAATCAGAGTCCTTTTGGTATGTATGAATTGGCTGTTGTATCCCCACCTACACTTATAACTAGAACAATTGATATGAATATTGACATCTCTAGAAAATCTGGAACCAGAATGCCTCATTGTGATGCAATAACCTACTCAGGTATTTCAGTTCATGTGTATTTTATAGACTAAGAAGGTTCTTGAATATGAAAACTATGAAAGAACCTGTGCAGTCTGATTACTCAAAAATTAGGTTCTACTGTGTTCCAATAAATCCAGCTTTGAATTTGCTGTTAGGGAAGAAAGGCAGTATCTGAAAAATTTAATAAATTAATAAATAACATATGTATGTGTCAGATTACAACCTAACAGTGCAAGCCAATGCAGAATTACTCCAGTCTAAGTCCACTGGTATCTAGATATGGGCACAAACTGAACTGAACTTTAAATGGGGTTTGCAGAAAGCTGAAAAACAGCTGAGCAGTGTGAAGCAGCCTGCTCCCCACCACTCAGCTGTTTTGGGCTGTTTTGTGCAGTCCCTTAAAAGTTCAGAGTCCCTTTAAACCCCTGCTTTCTGCTCTATCCACAAACTACCATTAACTGTTTTAAAAGTCTGTGGAAGTTCTTGATGGTAGATCTGTCATGAACTTCAGTTTGCAAACCACAAACAGGGCAAGATTTGTGACAAATTTTGCTTCGGAGTTCAGTTCCTGCCCATCCCTACTGATATCTATGGTCTGAAACTGGACTAATTCTGCATAGGATTGCAGTCTTATTCAGGGTTCTCCAGGGTATTATTTAATGCTATTTTTAATTGGTTCATTGGTACATTTGCTACCCACCCCCAAGAACGTATTTATGAAGAAAATATATACCCAGAATGTATACATATTATCGTTCTTTCACAGACTTGCTGCTTTGTCACTGTTGGTTTGTGGTCAGTTCCCAACATCCTGAGTCTAGGTGTATCTGCTCAGAAGCTAGTCCCCTTAAATTCAGTGGGGTTTACTTATTAAGTATAAAAGTTTAGCAAGGGACACTGGCAGCATTCTGGCAGCTATTTTGTTTATTTAAAGAAACATTTTTATGCCACCTTTCCACCTGATTGGGGTCTCCAAGTTGGTGAATATGAGAACAATGAAAACATTTCAACAATTAAAAACTGCATTTTAAACTACAAAACAATTCAGTAAAAACACAGAAACATACAACACCAGAACCAGGGAGGATGGCCAATTGTTACTGGGGGTATCCCAAATAAAACAAACAAACAAACCGTAGACCACCTCAGTGCCACATGAGATTAGCATCTCATTGGGCCAATGTACCACTGGAGCAGTTTATGTCTATTATGTGATTTCTTTCCAGTGTTTCAGTTGTGCTCCCCTGGAATAAGCCGTTCCTCTTGAAGCTGCTTAAGAAACTCCCAGCATCTTTTGCCTTCCTTCTATGAACTCTGTGAAACCCCCCACCCGAAGATGCTAAAGTTCAGTAATGAGTGGAATTGCTTTGAGATCGTTTTATTGTTCCAAAGGCAGACTAATAACGTTACAATCTAGAATAAAAAATCTTTTTCAGCCCTCAGGAGCTGCTACTATATAATGGCTGGCAGGCTTGGTACAAGCATGCCCTCAGGTGAAGACATCTCAGGTTTTCCCATGTGGAGGGCCTGATGGATTACCAAATTTGAAATCAGAAAAGGATATCCCCAAATCTGATTAATGGTGTTGGCATTAAAGGCACTATCCAATAGGCACCTATGACAGTCGATAAACATTATTCAGAAGAGTTCTTCAGGTTTCAGGGGGGGCCCACCACCACCCCCAATTCTTGAACAAACCTCTGAGTTGGGAAGCTGCTACTGAGTGATCCGTTTTGAGATGAAGCACTGCTTTAAAGAATTAAAATGTTATATCAGGGTTCCCACAGTGGAAGCTATGAGTGCCATGGTTCCCACTAGTACTTCTGCTGGTATCTGCCAAGGTTTTCAGAAAGTGGGCAGGGCCATTGCAAGGCAGGGCTTGTTATTGTCTGCCCTAAGGGGGAGGAGGGCGTATGAGTCTATGGCTGCAGTACCATGGTGCTTAGATCTGCGCTAGTTCAGTGCTGTTGGAAAGAATCCCAGCACACGTGCTAGGCAATCTCCCTGAAATAGTGATCCCCAATGTGCTGCCAGCTCACTTTGCCTCCCCAGAGCATCTGTTTTTCCAAAACGATCAGTCCACCAAGGAAGTCTTTTGGAAACAGCTGCTGTCATCATACTGGGGTGTTTGGCTTGCAATGTCCTTACATTTTGCAATGGTTCCTCTCAACCATGGAAACCGATTTTGCTATGGAGCTCTCTTATTTATTCTCAGAATTCTAAAAGCAGCTCCGCAAGACTGTAGATCCCTACCGTAAAAGACTGCAATGTACCCTTTCTCGCCGTTTACTAGAGACTATTGCAGAATAAAGAAATACAAGGAAAGAACAAGTATAGGGGGCCATCAAACAATAACCCTTGACGTGGAAATGGCAGGAAGTGTGTAAGCGTTCTACAAGTATACAAGGAAAAATACATGTATGTTCAAAAAATGCGACAGCGTTTGTTAAAATACGTAGTTGCTCTAAATCCTTTATAACAAGATAGCTCCAGATGGGCTGCAGTATTGGTCTGAAGCAGCAGAACAAAGTTCGAGTCCAGTGGCACCTTTACAACAAAGTTTTATTCAACGTATGAGCTTTCGTGTGCATTCACACTTCATATATCTGAGATACATACCCGAAGAAGTGTGCGTGACTGCACACGAAAGCTCATACCTTGAATAAAACTTTGTTGGTCTTAAAGGTGCCACTGCCACTGGACCCAAAACCTCGTCTTTATAACAAGCAAACAAAGAAAAAGCGCTTGTGATACAGACATCCAATTGCAAGACAATCCCAACGCCCTCAGCTTTGTGCAAACAGGTTCTGATCAGCTAGAGACAGACAAGACGAAACGACCGAATGAAGCCCATTCTAGGCAACTACAGAGCAACAGCACAGCTGCGCCGCTGAAGACGACAGCCGCTCCGGAAAGTAGTGAAAGTCTTCCTCGGCACACGCCTTCTCGGTGCGCAAAGACTTGTGGGAACTATAGTCTTTTCGCCTCCTTTCCCTTTCGACGGAAATACGTTTGTGGAAGAACCCGACTCTCCGCCTTCTGCGTGACTGACATCCGCGCAGCCCAATTGACAGCACGCTTGAACGTTTGCCATAAACGGCCTGTTGTTTTGGCGGGAGAGTGTTGCCTTTGCTGCTGCCGCTGCAGCTTTTGGCAGGCGCCTGACTGGAGAAGGGTCTCCTCGGGAGGCTCTTCCCAGACAGGTGGAGGTGGGCTTTCCGACCCCTGAGGTAAGAGATGGAGGTGTATTGCTCTCTTCGCTAGGCTTTGTTCGCTTGCATTGTTTCCTGTTCTCGGTTTCCTTCTCACGAGAGATCGGGGGAGGAGGAGGGGGAATTAAGGAGTCGTTTCCCTTTTCGTTGCCCTTATGGACCATCTTGCTTGGTCTGCAGGTCCAGAATCACCCAATTAGGCCGCCGAACCTCCCCCCGCCCCATCACTTACATCCCTAAAACACTCCTCAGTGCGTTTGGGCTCCCGTTGCCAACCTCCAGGTGGGGCCTAGATCTTTCCTGGAACTCCAGCTGATCTCCAGAGGACAGAATAAAAAGACTGCCTTGGAGAGTGGACTATATGGCATTATGGCTGCTAAGGTCCTCCCCAGGGCTCTTTTTGTAGAAAAAGCCCAGCGGGAACTCATTAGCATAATAGGCCACACCCAACAGCAGGTACTCATTAGCATATTAGGCCACACCCCTGACAGCACAGCTCATTAGCACATTAGGCCGCACCCGCATGTTACCAGAAGTGTGCTTATCCAGTTGTCAAAACCCAGGGCTTTTTTTGTAGCAGGAACTCCTTTGCATGTTAGGCCACACACCCCTAATGTAGCCAATCCTAATGAGTTCCTGCTGTTGGGTGTGGCCTATTATGCTAATGAGTTCCTGCTGGGCGTGGCCAACTCGGGAGCCAGCCGGAACTCCGTTCCTGTGCGTTCCTGCCCAAAAATAGCACTGGTCCTCCCTTTCCCAAACCTTTCCTGCCACCCCCTGACTTCAGGCTCTGTGTGTTCTACAGGTTGTATTTTCTGACCGCAGCAGGTTTTTTCTTACGCTCCCACCATGGCTCTGATGGCTGGTATGATCCGGCGGTTGGATGAGACTGTGGTGAACCGCATCGCTGCTGGAGAGGTCATCCAAAGACCAGCTAATGCCATTAAGGAGATGATGGAGAACTGGTAACTTTGCACCTCTCGGGGGTATCTGCTTAGTAGTGCTCCTGTCTAAAGATGTTATGCTTTTGGAAACTTTTATAACATTAGGCATTCTTGACTTGACCCAGCAGATTTACATAATGAGCATCAAGCTTTCAATATAAGAACATAAGAACATAAGAGATGCCAATGTTGGATCAGGCCAAAGGCCCATCCAGTCCAACACTCTGTATCCCACAGTGGCCAACCCATGTTGAGTCTGCCTCAATAGGTTTTGTTCATCTATGCTAATCATATGCTAATCATAAATAAATTAGCATTTTTGTTGAAACACTTGTCTGCCCTAAGACACTAGGAATGGATTTCTCAAATACGGCTTTTTATGGTCTAAAAACCTGTAAAGAAATAGGATGTCACAGGCCATAAAATACCTTAAAGTTGTTTTAAAAGTAGCCATAGAGATTGACACTTTCTTGATGAGGTCCTGCAGTGTTTTTTGTTTTTTTATGGGGATAGTGTCTGATGGGTCTAGCTCTTTGTGGGAAAAGCACTTAACTACATAATAATTAGTCCTGGAATTCTCATTATCTGCTGTTTCCCTGTGCAAAGAAAAGGGTGAAATCAGGCTCATTTGGAATAAAAATAGAATTGAAATAGAATATTTTGTGACAACTTGCAGTTTGTTTCTGAAGACTGAAATCTGTTTCTTGTTCTTACAGCTTGGATGCCAAAGCTACTAGTATCCAGGTGACAGTTAAGGATGGTGGTTTGAAATTAATCCAGATACAAGACAATGGCTCTGGTATTAGGGTAAGTAAATCTAGTTTACACTGCAGCAGTTAGGCTGTGTTTAAGGTAGTGCTAGCAACACTTGAGAAAACTCAGAAGAGGTTACCTACTAACATCTGTCTTTTTCTGCAGAAGGAGGACTTGGATATTGTGTGTGAGAGATTTACAACAAGTAAATTGCAGACTTTTGAAGATTTAGCTAGTATTTCTACATACGGGTTTAGAGGCGAGGTAAGTTACCCATGTTTAGAAATAGTGTATTATGGGGGAAAAATGATAAAAGCACCAAAGTTCTATTTGTTCCCTTTCTCTTTTGTTCCATCCAAAATATATCAACAGTTCCACATAGCGAAGCGAACACTGTTTTCAGAAATTTTAGATACAGTACCTACTTGTTGCCAATACTCCCTCTAAGCTGTGGAGTCTTGTGAGCAGAAATTCTACTTTGTGAGTTACTGGAATTAAAACTGTGAGCAAGCAATTTTGCTTCTGCATAAATTAGTTTGCTCTGGAGCCATCCTTCCTGAGCTAAGACCAAAATGTGTGAGCCGGAGGCTAAAAAACTGTGAATTAGCTCACGGTAACTCAGCTTTAGAGGGAAAACTGCTTGTTGCTTTGCAAGGGCAGCAGGATGGTGCTGGCTGGTGAAATGTATGAACTTAGCCCAGAATTCATTCACTAATAAAACAAACTTATATATGTCCAGTGTATTCAGTGGGGTTTACTGCCAGGTCAATATGCATAGGATTGCAGCAATAAATAGTGTTTTTTTCTGTTTGCACTGTTGCAGCTAAAACAAACCTGTATGATTGAGCTTCATTCAGGAAACATATATAAAATATTTGCATAACATTGGCCATGCTGAAAGCTTTACGTGTGATGGCCAGTACCTTGAACTGAAGACTTCACCTTTTAGTTTCGATTTTCAAACAAGGAAAAAGTGTTTTAAAAGAATATATTCAACTACCATGATTATGAAAAATCCAAATGTTTCTTCAGTTGCTGTGCAACTTGGTTTCTTTGTAGGTTTATCAAATATCTGGATTATTGTGTTCTTTATCTCTGGAGTTAGCCTTTCAAGAGGACATAAGAAGAGCCTTGCTGTATCAATCTAGTGGTTCATCTAGACCAGCATCCTTTCTCACATAGTAGCTAATCACTTATTCAGGAGGACCATCAGCAGGGTATAGAGGTCAAGGCCTATCATTGGTAACTTACTGCCTCTGATTATGTAGGTTCCGTTTAGTTACTGTAGCTAGTAAACACTGATGGACCTATCTTCCATGAATGTATCTAATCTTCCTTTAAAGCCATCTATGCTTGTGGCCATCACTGCATGCTGCATATTAAACAGCAGCTTAAAGCCTTTAAAATAAAACTTGTTTCCCTGATTTAATGAGATGTTTTCATTTGTTGTCTAATGTTGGATATGCCAACTAATTAGATTCTAAGGGGGTCTAATTAGAAGATTTTTGCTACTGTTGTTATTGATACATTGAACATATTCCAACAAGGTAGTAGGTACCACCTTTTAAGAGTTTGGCAGTACCATCCTAAGCAGAGTTAGACCTCTCCATTGACTTAAATGGATTTAAAAAGCAGTGACTTTATTTAGGATTGCATTAGTTGTCTTACCTGGTTTTAAGCATGCATTCTTTCTCTCTAGGCGCTGGCTAGTATAAGTCATGTTGCCCATGTTACCATAACAACTAAAACAAGTGATGGAATGTGTGCATACAGGTATGTATATTTAGTTCTTAAATGTAATAAATTTGTAGGAAGGAATGATTAAAGGGATGCCTGGCCTGTATTCTGCCATCTCTGGAGTTTTGCCATGTTTGTCTCCGTACCTGTAGCCCTTTTCTGACTGCTAGAAAGTTTATTTATTTACATAATCTAGTACTGTGCTGTTCTCCAAGATAGGGACCTGAAATGACTCACAACAACACCCAGTTTAAACAAACAGCAATATAAACAGATAAAGTGCAATAAAGAAAACAACCCCCCCCCACCAAAAACAAACTCTGCATAGGTTTTTAAGCCAGTGGCCACCTGTTCAGTGTTTGCAGGCTTCAAACCAAAAGCATTTTGGCTCATGCCTCTTTCTGCATCTAGGCTTTGTAACGGCAGACAGAAATGAGACTGCTGAGATGGGGTGCAGGTGGAAAGGTGTTCCCCAACGGTTCCCCTCCCTTTGCTATTTCCTGTGGTCGCAGGACCAGAGGAACAGCCGTGTAAGCTGGGGGACTGCAGCGAGGAGGGGGAAGGGAGTAAGATCATCCCCTCCTTTCTCCTCCTGATCAGATCAGGCCCTCATCCGCTTCATATTCTCTGTCAGCATGTGCCATCTCCGTGCCTAGATCCCTGGCATGCTTAACAGTGCATGTACAAACAAGACAACGTAGTTAGTTTAAACAAGATATTGAGCACATGCAGTACTCCCTGGGTAAGTTCTTCCTGCTCACTCAGTGTTAAACAAGGTCTTTGTGCAGCATAGTAGCTAAAACTGAGCTGTGGGACAAAGTATCTTGCTCCAGTCTGCCTCTGCTAGGTATCACAATCTTTAAGCTGAGGACCTCTGTCTGTATTACGGAGGTAATACTGATCTGTTGTCTGAGACTGTTAAGAGGATCGTTGAAATAATGTATGCAAAAAGCCTTTAATGCTCTATAATACTGTATCAGTGTGGAGTATTATTGCTTAACTTTGTTTACCATAAAGAGCCTGGTAAATTGATCTCAATTCTTAACCCTTCAGTTCAGTTAGAGTTTAGTGGCCAGTGCTCTAGGGCATACATTCCTGCCATTGTGGGTATTCTCAAATATGATTTTCAGCATTAAGTCAGATGCGTGCTAATCTTATTGCATGAGCTCCACTACCACCCAAGGGATTTGGAGCACTTCCCTGTACAGAATAGTAAATCACCTGCCTCCTAGGTGTGTGATGATGAAAGCTGCACAACGCGCCATACTTAGCAATTTTGAAGGTGACATCTCTGTTACTATCAGCGAACATTTTCTTGAGGAGACTTTGTTGATCTTTCCCTGGGAAACTAGAAATTACTGGTACTACCAGTGCCTCCCGAATCTGTTTATAGATTTTACAGTAAAAAATTACATGGCTTAATGTCTCCACACTCTCATCCCCACATGGGCATAGGCATTCTTCTAAAGGTGTCGTCTTATATTTGACTTCCAGTACTGCAGTAGGCAGCGAATCATATCTTAGCAGAGTGAAAGCCCTCCTATAATTGGGATTCTCTAAACTGTTAAGGCATCAATAACGGCCTATTTAGGGTGTTCAAATCAATTATATCACTTTTCAGTCTATTCAGATCATGTTGTCTTTCAACATCTAGAATCCTTTGTTTTACCACAGACCTCGCTTGATCTGTAAATTAACCAAAAGAGAGACAGAGAACTTGAAAAATGACAGGATGAAATATGCACCTGAAGGGAATATCTGAAACAGTTGTGAGTTGTGAGTAGCTGAGTGATTCTGGAACTCTTTCTCTCCGGGAGAAACTAAGCTGCCCCCTTCTGTTGTTGTCTGGCATTCCCTCAGTAATCCCTCCTTCTTGAGGTGTTTTTAATGGTTGTTTGTGTGTGTGTGTATTTTATTACATCGTACATGTATTTTAACTTTTAAATTGCTTGAATGATGTGGTTTTGGTTTTGTTTAAATCGTTTTTAACGCATGTTTTTACATTATGTATTTATTCTGTTGGCCCTGATGAGGGCAGAAGGGGTATAAATTTTATAAATAAAAATAATTAAAAAATGGATATGAGGAAAAATTAGCTAGTTCAGATCCCTGAAGCTTAGAGTAGAGAGATCTGGGCAGGGGGGTGTCAACATTTTTCTCTCTAGCAGAATTCCTTGCAGCCCCCCTGCTTGCGTTTTGCTAACAGGAAAACCTCATCCCATTTTGTAGTATGGTATGGAGGTCTGTTCAGAGAAGAAGTCAAAATTAAGAATACATATTCTGCTCATGTCATTCAGACTGCAAAATATGGGAAGAGGTTGGACCTACCTGAGGTCAGGGATGCAAAATCGCCTGACTCTCCCTGGTCCAAAGGACGCCAGATTGGCCATCACCAGAGCTAGGGCCTGCTCAGTGGCGGCTCCATACTGGTGGAATGAGCTCCTGGAAGACATCAAGGCCCTGTGGGACCTTTTACAGTTCCGCAGGGCCTGTAAAACGGAGCTCTTCCAGGCCTTTGATTAGGAGCCGCCACTGATGAACTAGCCATTAAAAACCAGACCATAAGGCCCTTACGCTACCGGAACTTAGAACTACTAGGACACCGGCCAGCTATATTGAACCACCTATGGAGATTGTCATCTGCACTTAATTGCACTTTAGTTATACTTGTTATATGGAATGGACTTTTAAATATTGTATTTATATGGTGTTTTTTTTTGTTTAACTTATTGTACGCCGCCTTGAGCCTGCCTAGGCAGGCAAGACGGGATACAAATCGAAACGAATAATAAATAAATAAATACATTTAATGTACACAAGCATGTTAAAGAATATAAGATGTCATGAAATCGTTTTAAAAAATTAAGAATACATAATTGTCCATAGATATGAGTTTGGCAGATTGTCAGTGAGGAGAACAGCAATGCAACTAAAGTATTGAGGAATAGAGCACTAAGAGTAATAGATCATACAAAAAGAACTGTCATTCTGAAGGACTTGCACTGATGGATCCTACAGGGAAATTAACACAGCTGTGGTAGTTTAAAAAGGCTTTTGTGAGAACCAAAGCGTCAAAGGATTAGCAGTCTTCAAGCAGCCAACTTCAGAAAGAGAATTAGCTTCTCCTGTTCTCTTCCGCATTATGCTATCCAACATTTAGCCACTAGAGGTCCGTCGTATTATTAATGCAAAGAGCAGCAGTTATTTTTCAAATGTCCCTTTAAGGGTTTTTTTGTACAGTAAATACCAATATAGTGCAGGCTATTGGTCTGCAGACTGGAAGGTCTGTAGTTCCAGACCTGAGTGCTGTGTGATGGAGTGAGCTCCCATCTCTGGCCCCAGCTCCTGCCAACCCAGCAGTTTGAAGGCAAGAAATTGCAAGTAGATAAATAGGTACCACTTCGGTGGGAAGGTAACAGTGTTCCGTGCGCCTCGGCGTTTAGTCATGCCGGCCACATGTCCACAGAGAAGTCTTTGGACAGTGCCGGTTATTTGGCTTGGAAACGGAGATGAGCACTGCCCCCCTAGAGTTGGATTCGACTGGCTTTCAAGCAAGGGAAACCTTTACCTTTACTATATCTAATCCACGGCTGCTCTCTGAATCGAGTGCATAGGTGTAAGATAATCCCCAGCCAGCACTGTTTATTAAATTGTAGGTATTCTGTGAGGAACTGGGACCTGCTGTGCCTAACATTGTACAGCTCAGTTTGTAGTTATCCCAAAATAAGTCACACTCTGTTTAGAGACGCTTGCACAGAATTGCACCTCTGGTCCCCCTTTGGGGTGCAAAGCTGCCGGAGGCATTTTTGTTATGGTGACATTGCTTCCTGTGAAGTCAGTACTGTCCAGTTACTGCTCTGCCATCTGTGACAGGCCTCCGTGTGTCCTAAACGACGACTATGAAATTCTGAATCTCTGCAGAACCAAGCAAGTTGGCTTACAAATGGCTGAGTGATGAGAGTATGGTGTCTCTTTTGAAAGCGCTGTTGACTTGAAACAATACTTGTGGAGTAATCTAATAGTGACTGTTTTATTCTGCTTTTAGAGCAAGCTATTCTGATGGAAAATTGAAAGCCACACCCAAACCTTGTGCCGGAAACCAGGGAACTCAGATTGTAGTAGGTTATCTGCCCTTTACCAATGTTTGCTTTTCATTCCCACTTAGTCCTGTCACTTTTCTTTTGTTGTGGCATATTCCTAGTATATGGAAGTTGTTGCTAGAAACAGCCCCTAAGAGCACTTTGGAATGTCTTATCATCATCATTGGAGTGTTTCCCCCCACATCGAAACAGTAATAATGAATGTGCCGCAGATCACGTGCAAAGTTTTTTGTCCTCATCAGCATCTCATATGCTTAGGAAGAAAGGCTTCCAGATCAGAAGATGAGGCTTCAGGAAAATTTGAGCCCTAGCATCTCTGTGTTCATCTAGAAATTAAGTGCTAGAGACTGTCTTAAAACCTGAAGCAAGAGGTTTATGTATGCCACTGTGGAAGTTTGTAGCATTATCTCTTGAAATAGTGTTATTCGTAAAAGACACAAATTTGCATGTGGTAAAGTTGAAAATTGTCTCTGTATGTCTCAATTTCTTGTAGCTCTCACAGTGTCTTATGGAATTCTTACAATTTTTAGTTGATTTGCAGTCTTTTACTGAGGTATGCTTTCTTTATATTAGCATCACTGAGGATCCACTAAGCTTATACCGCTTCAGCCTACATTTAATTAATCAAATTAAAACCTTCAGTTTTCAGGCTGCTCATCCTGCACAAACTGTAACTTTCTCTACAGGGCTTGTACCAGAACATTTAAGGTTGAGAATTCATATTAGATGTAACCTAGGATAACGAATGAAAAATGGTTCACTGCTGGGATTAAAAATTGAAATTTTGTCTAGTAATCATGTTTATAGAATTACGGCAGTGTGTTCATTTGGTTGGTTCGAAAGGATATTGTGAATAGTGCAACTGGTGTCTGTTTTAACCTGTCTGTTTTTCTTTGCAGGTTGAGGACTTGTTTTACAATGTAGCCACCAGGAGGAAAGCTTTAAAGAATCCAAGTGAAGAATATGCAAAAATACTGGAAGTCGTTAGCCGGTAATGTATTAAAATAAGAGGCTTTTGGTTTCTGCTCTCTGCCTGGTGATGGAAGCTGCTGCGGGTCCCCCGAGGGGAGAAAGGTGGGAAATAAATAGAAGCCAAGAAATAAATAGAAGCCAAGAAATAAAAAGGTTCCCCTTAAATTGCTAGATTGGGACGTTTTCTTTCTCGTTAAAGCCAAGCATAACATCTTTGATAAAAAAACAATAATTCAAAATAGCAAGAGAGCTTTCATGCTGAGGTCGGTACGGTGGCACACATACAGCTGGAGCTTGGTTTTCACCTGGAGAAGAATCCCACTGAAGCCAGTTGAACCATTGCCATAAAAATCGTGATCTCTGAAATGGACCTGATGGTTGAGGAAGGACTGCAGCCTTGTTTCTGCAAATGTGAGACAGTGAGGGAGACCACACTGATTTCATGATGCTTGTCAACTTGGTGAACTGCCTCTGCTCCTGGGATGATATATCCTGCAGAAGAAAATCATCAGCCTTTGCCTTGTTGTGGGTCAGATAGTGGGCCATGATTGCTTAAGCACTTGCTAGACCATTCACACTTAATTTGAGTGCAGGACAAGTGTAATAAAAATCCCTTAAATAATGTAGGCGCTGCAGGAGCCCTGTGATCTCCCATGTCTCTCCTTCATCTGTTTCCCACTAACATAAACGTGTGTGTGCTGTCAAGTCACGGCCATCTCATGGCAACCCCAGCAAGGGGCTTTCAAGGCAAGTGATTAAGCAGAGGTGGTTGGCCCTGGCCTCCCTCTGCAGAGTCTTCCTTGGTGGTCTCCCACCCAAGTACTGATGCTGCTTAGCTCCCAAGATCTGACGAGATCAGGCTATGCCATGCCGCCTTCCCTTCTCTCAGTGACATACAGTTAAATAAAATGGGACGTGTGGTATGATGTCATTTGATTTAGAGTTTTCTCTCCACTTCACTGACCACTGTTGGAAAGGGTGGGGACACCGGGGTGACATCATGGCGCCTGTGCAGAAGAACTGGGTTGTCAAGGGAGAGGGGAAGTAATGTCATGGTGACTGCACTGTGGGGAAATAATGTGTGTTGAAAATTTTCGCTATTTTATATGCTCTAGCTTAGGGTTTTTTAAAAAATCTTTTCTCCCCAGATACGCCATTCATAACTCTGGCATCAGTTTTTCAGTTAAGAAGGTGAGTTAAATAATTTGCTTGTGTTGAAATTACAGGGATGCTGAGGGTGTCCTCATAGCTACTTTTTTGCCTATGTCTGCTCGGGAAGGGGTGGGGGTCCCATGGTTCCCCTTGTCTGCATCTGATGAGAGAAGTCACCCAGTGTTTTTGAGTCAGTGTGCAGATGACACCCGACTCTGTCATTTTCAGGTGAGAGAGTGGGGCGGTGGCTGTGTCTTGTATCACTGTTTGTAAATGGACTGGGTGGTGGCATATTGAAATTCAAGTGATCACTTACTCAAGCACTTTAAACTCTCCCCCCCCACCAACAATAACCCTGTACTGCTCAAGGCTATAATATAATAAAAATGCCATTTTGTTTACAATATGTTTGAAATTGTTTGGGAGAAAAACTCTTCCCGCATATTGCCAGGGCGATTAGTCACTGTGCTGCTGTGTAGTCATTTTCTTCAAGAGTCTAGCAAATATTGGCATATTGAAAAAGTGTGTCAAAACAAGTCTGTTTTATCAGTATAGCTTGCCCCTCAGTCCAGCTCTAATATTGTTCTTCGTAGCATGCATCAAAAATATTAGTAAATACAAGGTTAATGTCTTCCATTTTCAGCAAGGTGAGACAGTAGCAGATGTCAGAACGCTGTCGAACGCTACAACGGTAGACAATATTCGGTCCATCTTTGGGAATGCTGTTAGCAGGTATACCAATCCCAAATGCAGTTTTGCTTTCAAACAAGTCTTGAACGTTTTAAAGTAATATAATTAAAAACGTTTAGATTAGAAGCATTACATGTTGTGGAATGGAATACAGTTAGAATTTGACCAGCAAGTTTCATATTGAAATGGCCTTAGTGTATTTAGTGGTTTTAGTGGTTTTAGTGGTTTTAGTGGTTTTAGTGGTTTTTAGTGTATTTGTCAAAGGGAATGAGAAAAAGGAGCCTGGGGGAAATTATATAGTACTCTTGACCTGAAAGGCTCTGCATATCCTCGTCCCTATACATATCTAGAGGAAAGTATATGAAACTTTTAGGAATGCCTTGTTTGATGGGTGTACAACATATCGTCTGTGGACAGCATGCAGCTTGTGGGCCCATGTTGTGTGCCCCCCTCCACTTCTCACCATGACCCTGGTCTGCGACACGATGAGAAGTTCCTCCCTCCCTGCAGAGAAGGCTCCGAATGGTTAGTGTTATAACCCTTCCCTGCATGAGAAACTTCCTGCTGTGTGTCTCAGAGCAAGGGAGTGGCAAAAAAATTGGTGGAGTGGGGTAGGGTGGAAGACCAACTCTCAGCAGCTCTCTGGGCTCATGGGATGCCGTGGATAAATCTCCTGTGTTGGTGGGGGGGTCAGATCTCCCCCTTCCCCCATGGGAAATTTCTCTGTTGCATCCTGGGGGCTTGCAAGGGAATTAAGACTGTCACCTGAGTCCAGACAACAACAGAGGTGGTGTTCAGTCACCCCCCACTCACACACAGTTACATGAGCCGTCGTGGAGCTAGCTGATACGTCAGGGGGGCCCCACTTAGCTCCAGTCAAGATCTGATACAACCCATGTGACTGAGTTGTGCACTCCTGCCTTGATGGTTGTCTGTACAGAATATCCTCTGATGGCACCAAGACTCCTGTTGCCTGAATGTAATCGTAAATGAACACTTAGATTTAAATTAGTATTTAAAACACTATTTAAAGACAGGGTCTGCTTTAAAAAGGACCCCGAGCTGCCCTTTCAGCAGTTTGAGACTTTCAGCTGTAGTTGTAGAAAGAACGTCTGCCCTGTAATTGTACAGACAACCTAGAATAAGTAAGCAGAATCATTTGCTGCCTGTACTCTAGGACTTGTGCCAACATTGGCATAAAGGTCAGTGAGAGACGGTTTCTAAATTTAGAAATGACAGTTACAGCTCCAGGGCTGAACAGTCAGTGTGCATGACATGCTAGCCAATGGAGTGCGGAGTAGAGAGCCTCACTTGTCTCAAAGAAGCTGGCTCACAACTGAGTTATCCATTCAAAAGGGCTTGCGTGGCTTTTAAGTGTCCTCAGCTGTGTACAGCGTCTTGCGTGTTGATCACCTGACCTTTGATTTTCTCCAAAGGATGTAGGTGAAAGTGCACAAGCACATAGTAAGGGCTAGTGTGTTAAGATACACTGGTAGGTAAAAAGAACAGGGTACTACTATTCATACTTCAGTTCAAGATACTAGTAGGGCTTCACTTGAAATAATGTTTTCTTTGGTTTCCATTGTATTTTGAACATTACATTTCAGTTGGAAGTTATTGTCAGAATAGTGAAAATGTCCACTGATGGAAGGATCTTCCTGTGACTTCTCCGCCCCCTGACCCCACTACATCCCAAAATGTCCTCTGAAATGCTGCTTCTGTTGGGCAAAGGAGTTTCTGGGAATGGTGTGGAGGGGGAGAGTACAGAAGTTTGGGGGGGATAAGCCATACTTCGACCGGAAAATGGGGAGACAGATCCAATAGTTCCAATATTTGCAGCTGAAAAATCTCATTGAACAGCTCTCGGAACTGGGAACTTTCTGAAGAGAGCTGACTAATTTTGAAAAAATAATTAAATGTTATTCCAACTCGCCGAAAGGTACGTTGTCTAAATTGTACGATGCGATCATTTTGGAGGGAAATCGCTCAAAACTGAAATTTCAATACCGTTGGGAGGAAGATTTGATGGTACAATGGGAGGAAGTGGACTGGGGCAGTGTGTGGTCCTCTCCTGCTAATACCTCCAACATTTTCAATATTAGACTGCAATTTTTCAAACTATACTCTAGATGGTATATGACCCCTCAGACATTACACAAAATAAGCTCTAATAACGAACCGCTTTGTTGGAAGGGCTGCGGGCAGACTGGCACCTTTTTACATTGCTGGTGGGAGTGCCCGAGGATTGGCAAGTTTTGGGAGGAGATCCGAAAACAGATCACGGAGATGACCTCGATCGATCTTAATTTCAAGCCTGAAATTTTCTTACTTAACCGGTGGGATGCCGACATCGATAATAGGAACAAAGAAATAATCTCTTTACTTCTCGCATCAGCGCGCCTATCAGTTGCCTCATGTTGGAAATCCCCGCTGCCACCCTCAATATCTGCCTGGCACGAAAAAGTGTGGGAGCAATTTGTGATGGCTAAAATCACAGACAAAGTAAATAGGGCACATTAGTCTCAACCCCCTAATTCCAAATTTGAAGCTATCTGGTTTCCAATATTCACATATCTCGTTGCACATGACATACTACCTGCAAACTTAAATTACCATAAGTGGTTATTGCTGTGAAGGTTTAGTTCATTTGCTGGATGGGAAAAAGTCAATGATTGTTATTCTCATTACTCTATTTCTGTAGACCAATGTTCTTACGTACTGTATCTCTTAGTGGTAAGGCTTAGCTTCTCACTGATATAGACTTAATCCTCTGAGTGCTATTGTAACATACTTCTATGATGTTGTTTCTATGTTATTGACAAAATGAATAAACAAATTACAAAAAAAAAAGAAGTTGGGGGGGGGGAAGTGCAGTAATCTGCAAAAATCATCCTTCCATCAGCAGAAATAATTGGTTGGAGCCAACCCTAAGATTCAAGCTGTGTACATTACATGGGGCACCTGGGTTTGGATCTCCTGGTGGATTTTTAATATTTAAAAGTAGCCCGGGGTGTGGCATTAACTGAGTCACGGTATGTGGGAAGGTTTTCAACCTTTTTCATAAGAAGCTTAATCCCAGAGTCCACTTTACCAAGGATGTGTCCTGTACTAGAAAATCAATCCGAAAACTGAGAAAAAACGAATTGTCATTTTATCTAAAATGCCTCTAGAGAATTGATTGAAGTTGGCTGTGAAGATGAAACACTGGCCTTTAAAATGACGGGCTATGTTACCAATGCAAACTATTCCGTGAAGAAATGCACCTTTTTGCTTTTTATTAATCGTAAGTACAAAAGTATGTGTTTCTCTTAGTCTGCTTTAAAGTAGAATATTCTGTGGCACTTTAACAAGAAGCAGCAGTGCCAGATGCTGAGTACTGTTCCTTTTTTGAAGGGACTGAAGGGAAAAGCTGGTGGTGAAGTTAGGTGTTTTCTGCCTGCAGAGTACATTTTGGAGGATTTGAGAGCTGGAGTGTGCTTTAGTACAACATTTTGTAATAAAAGTCCCAACATCTTGCTGTTTGCATTTGTGATGGTACAAGTCTGCTTTGCTTTGATCGCAAGGCCATTTTAGACTGAGGAGTTTGCAAGCTGAATCTGTGCGCCAGGCAGTCCACATGGATCCTAGCAGTTAGGATTGCTACTGCTTTCCAGAGTACACGGTCAAGTGGTATAGCAGCTGAGGGACTAAGTCACAATTGTAGTACAAGTTTTCCTTGTGCTTCCTATTTGGCACTGGAATAAATGGCCATCTGGAAGAGATTCAGCTTGTGTGTATGAGGCGTGTGTGTCAGAGTTGTGGATCCTACTTCTGCCACTCATCTGAACAAAGTTTGCTTGTTTATTACTGATACCTTTCCTTTTGGCTCAAGTTTGAAACCTTCCTCCAATTTA